CTTGCACAGCAGTAGTAACTCTCTTTCTACCTCTTCCAGGCCGGTCTGTAACCTCGTTTGTATCCCTGATTTTTTTTAATATTCGCGAAACATCGCTTTGGTTAACTCCTACAATTTAGTTATTGCAACTTGCCGGTAGCCCTGTTGAGACAGTGTTACTATTCTGACTCAATTAAACTGTGAAATAATGTTTCTAGGCATTTTAAGGCCAAAACAATGGTCAAATTTCTTCTAAAACCTAAGAGACCACAAATCGAAATATGCAAGAATTTGTAATAATATTGGGTCTGAACGATAAACATTGTTTACCATATCCATTTTAACAAAAAAAAATGTTTATTACAGATTATCAAAGCTATGTATAAAAAAAGATTCTTTAAATTCCTTTTCGTATATTTTTAAACGATATATGTATGCAATAATTTTGGCCATGTGTGTAATACAGTACTTTGAAAGCGTTACAAGTTAATTTTAAGGTACTGTCAGTAGTGTCAGTACAGGTAACTGGTATCAGGTATTAATTATTGATTTGAAGCTTGATTTTATGTCGTTATATTCAAGATGGTTATTTTCTTTTATCAATTGTTATATTAGTCAAAAAGGCCTTTGATTAAAACTGTTTTGTTCTTTCTGTGTCCGTTCAGGCTATACCCATTTAATTTGCATTGAAGCATCACATGAAAACATATTTAATAAAAAACGTTTTTGACTAAAACTGTTTCGCTCTTTCTGTTGCAAAACATGTTGTTTAAATACAACAGTTCTGAAATTCTAAATCAGAATATAAAAAAGAGTTTATTACGTCCTAACTCTTATGTCGTAAATACTGTAAATCGCTAAGTATCAAAAAACAAATAAAACCTTTTTATTTTTCCAGCTGTATTTTGAGAAGAAACAACGGAGGCTAATTCGATTATTTTTGAATTCCAAACGCCATTCATGCACTATTGTGTGAAGTGCCAGGCACTCAATATAATTTTCCAATTACGCTAAATACGCGTGTTATTGTAGTTATTGTTAAAACAAGTGTTCTTTAAATAAACATTCCCACTGCCTCTTCATATTCTGATGGAGATGTTTGTTCGGGAAAGGTGATGAATGAATTTTACGTCAAATCGCGGTTCGGCTAATAAAATTGAAATGTCAAAAACTGGATCAAAACGTGAGGTGGATGATGTCAATGGACGCTATATACTCTATGGATTTAAAAAAAAATAGAACGCTATGAATGGAAAAAACAAATCGAATGCTGCCAGGGTCAGTATAATAATAGCCCTGTTGACGGATTGGATATACCATCCGATCGAAAAAAAAACGGCGTCACAGACGGCTGGGAATGACAATCGATGATAATTTCGACGAGGTCAATCTCTAGACGTCATTTATTTGGATCGTACTTTTTTATTTTTTAATAGCGCTTGCTACCAGTAGTTTTTACATAAAAAGTCCTAGCTTTAATTTTCTTTTAACGAAATTACTTTATCTATAGTTAAAATTATAAAGTAATAATAGCTAACAATGCGTTTCACTAACAATGTTAGCAACATTAGTAGATGATTAAAACTAAAATAACCTTCAATAATCGACTGAATTTTCCAAATAATAGTTTAGTTTTTCATCATAAGCTGATATTGTTAATCATGTCGCGCTCATAGTTTAATGTTCATAACATTCATAAGTGTTCTAGTGTATCGTAAATTAGTGTCATAACTATGTTGCTGTGGAAACACCAAATTTCCCAATTTCAACTGTAAAAAAACTAAATTAAAGAGAAAGCTGGCTTATAGAAAGGATAAAGGTTTGAATGTTTTTGATAAAACTAGGTATCCTCGTGAATTTCGGGTAAACAGATAATTTAGTATATCTACATCTCTTTGCCAGAAATGGAGAAATTTCAATAACAGAAACAACAGCGGTACGCGCTCAAATCAAAAAAAAAGTTGGTTTTAGTTATTATTTTTTATCGTTTTTTTTATTAAAATAAGTTATTTGTAAAAACTGCAATTCAATTATCTACATTTCTTTGCAGGAATGGAAGAATTGGACAACAGAAAGAACTTTTACAAAAGAACTTAACAAAAAACAATAAGTGAAACTAAATAAATAACAAATAAAAATAGTATTGTAGAAAGATTGATTTTAGATATTAAAAAGTATAAAAATTATAAAGTAATAGTAGCTAACGATGCGTTTCATTAACGATGTTAGAAACATTAACAGATGATTGAAACTAAAATAAATTTCAATAATCGAGTGAATTTGCTGAATACGACATTCACATCATGTCGCCCTCATAATTTAATGCTCATAACATTCATAAGTGTTTTGGTGTTTCGTAAATTAGAGTCATAAATATGTTGTTGTGGAAACACCAAAGTTTACAATTTCAACTTTAAAAAATCTCAATTAAAGAAAAAGATGGCTTATAGAAAATATCAAGGGGGTTAGTCTTTGGTACACTATATCATTTTACTTTTGTTTTTGATAAAACTAGGTATCCTCAGGTTAAACAGTCAATTTAGTATATCTACATCTCTTTGCTAGAAATGGAGAAATTTCAATAACAGAAAGAACATTAACAAAAAAACTTACAAAGGACAAAGCATAAAGCGAAATAAATATTAGAAAAAAAGCTAGTTCTGTTCAAAGTATGATTTTAAAAAGTAGACAAAAATGAAATGACAAACTGCGAGGTTTTATATAGGATATTAAAACATTTTGTTTTTTTCTCTGGAGAAAGATTAGATGTCAAACATCTTTTGCCCCTTTTCAATGTTAACAATAAAAAATAAACAGGACCAAACGAGAAGAAGCTGACAAATTTAACATTCCAAAACAAAAACTGGTCAAATAAATCAAAAGAATCAGAAATCATGCAGCAATTCGGTAGATATGCTGAGCAAGTAGGAAAGTACTAAACCGATGGCCGCGTATCCAAAGTGACATTTTGTTGTTTGCATCCGAAAACTGTCCTAAACCAAAACCGCAATCTGCAACAATAACTTTGTCTGGTATTGATTTTTCGCACAGTTTTTCATGGTACGCGCTCAAATCTGGTTAGGTTATTACTTTTATTCTTTATTAAAATAAGTTTTGTAAATACTATAATCCAATTATCTATACTTTATGCTGGAATGGAAGAATTGAACAACAAAAAGAACTTTTACAAAAGAACTTAACAAAAGACAATAAATGAAACTAAATAAATAACAAATAAAAATAGTATTGTCGAAAGTTTGATTTTAGAGATTAAAAAGCATAAAAATTATAAAGTAATAGTAGCTAACGATGCGTTTCACTATTAGCAGATGATTAGAACTAAAATATTCTTCAATAATCGAGTGAATTTTCTGAATACGACATACACACATCATCTCGCCCTCACAATTTAATGCTCATAACATTCATAAGTGTTTTGGTGTTTCGTAAATTAGTGTCATAAATATGTTGTTGTGGAAACACCAAAGTTTACAATTTCAACTTTAAAAAAACTAAATTAAAGAAAAAGATGGCTTATAGATAATATCAAGGGGGTTAGTCTTTGTTACCCTATATCATTTTACTTTTGTTTTTGATAAAACTAGGTATCCTCAGGTAAACAGTCTAATTTAGTATATCTACATCTCTCTGCTAGAAATGGAGAAATTTCAATAACAGAAAGAACATTAACAAAAAAAACTTACAAAGGACAAAGCATAAAGCGAAATAAATATTAGAAAAAAAGCTAGTTCTGTTCAAAGTATGATTTTAAAAACTAGACAAAAATAAAATGACAAACTGCGAGGTTCATACAGGATAAAAAAAAACATTTTGTTTTTTTTTCTCTGAGGAAGATTAGTTGTCAAATATCCTTTGCCCTTTTCAATGTTAACAAAAATAAACAGACCAAACGAGAAGAAGCTTTGGGACAAATTTAACATTCAAACAAAAACCGGACAAATAAATCAAAAGAATCAGAAATCATGCAGCAATTCGGTAGATATACCTGAGCAAGTAGGAAAGCACTTAAACCATACGTATCCAAAGTGACATTTTGTTATTTGCATCCGAAAAACTCTCCTAAACCAAAACCGCGTAATCTGCAACAATAAATCTCGGTCTGGGTACGATTTTCGCACAGTTTTTCCGCGGTACGCGCTCAAATCTGTTGGTTAGGTTATTACTTTTTATTCTTTTTTTATTAAAATAAGTTTTTTGTAAATACTATAATTCAATTATCTACATTTCTATGCTGGAATGGAAGAATTGAACAACAAAAAGAACTTTTACAAAAGAACTTAACAAAAGACAATAAATGAAACTAAATAAATAACAAATAAAAATAGTATTGTCGAAAGTTTGATTTTAGAGATTAAAAAGCATAAAAATTATAAAAGAATAGTAGCTAACGATGCGTTTCACTATTAGCAGATGATTAGAACTAAAATATTCTTCAATAATCGAGTGAATTTTCTGAATACGACATACAGACACCATCTCGCCCTCACAATTTAATGCTCATAACATTCATAAGTGTTTTGGTGTTTCGTAAATTAGTGTCATAAATATGTTGTTGTGGAAACACCAAAGTTTACAATTTCAACTTTAATTTGATAAAACTAGGTATCCTCAGGTAAACAGTCTAATTTAGTATATATACATCTCTTTGCTAAAAATTGAGAAATTTCAATAACAGAAAGAACATTAACAAAAAAAACTTACAAAGGACAAAGCATAAAGCGAAATAAATATTAGAAAAAAGCTAGTTCTGTTCAAAGTATGATTTTAAAGACTAGACAAAAATGAAATGACAAGCTGCGAGGTTCATACAGGATAAAAAAAAGCATTTTGTTTTTTTCTCTGAGAAAGATTAGATGTCAAACATCCTTTGCCCTTTTCAATGTTAACAAAAATAAACAGACCAAACGAGAAGAAGCTTTGGGGCAAATTTAACAATCAAACAAAAATCAGACAAATAAATCAAAAGCATCAGAAATCATGCAGCAATTCGGTAGATATACCTGAGCAAGTAGAAAAGCACTTAAACCATACGTATCCAAAGTGACATTTTGTTGTTTGCATCCGAAAAACTGTCCTAAGCCAAAACCGCGTAATCTGGATTAAAGAATCTCGATCTGGGTACGATTTTCGCACAGTTTTTCCGCGGTACGCGCTCAAATCTGTTGGCCCCTGATCGTCCCCGGTACAACCCGTACGTCGGTGCGCGACGTATTTTTGGCAAGCGAGAGGAAAAAGAGAGTGGGTTGCGACGCCTTATCGATTTTTCTGGCGCGCGACACACGCACGGATCTGGACGGATTCTGGAGGTCCAGATTTGTCGCGCCGGTGCCGCGGCTGCTGGAAAGGCCGCAAATTTCGGGCGGATGGTGCCATCTCGAGGGGTGGGGATGCGGTAAAAGGCGGGAGAAAGATTCCTGCCTTTAGATGTGAGAGTTTCCCTGCCGCGGTTTTACGAGGGTTAATTTAAAAGTGTTTAAAAGTTTATAGTTCGATATATTGTAATCGCAAAACATTTTCCGATGCACGTCATCAATCATATCGACATTGACACTAAAGTCTATAAACCTGACTTAATGAAGTTTTGCCAAAAATGTTTAAATTTGCTGTATAATTTAAGATACCGAACAGCTCTTCATTTTACTTTATAGAGCAAATGATTGTAACAGATATTTTATTTAGATTAAAGCTGCAAAAATTAGTTTAAACCGAATTTTATTATCGCTATGTTGATCACATTGCCCCTTGTTCAGCAATGTTGTCCTGTATTATTTGACAATTATCCTAGTGTCAGTCATTATTTTGTATAATATCGTGTTGTTGAATCTTTGTGACTAATTCTCGTTTTTTTGCCTATTTTCATAATATTTTTTAAAAATTGCCTTTTTAAACACAAACAGTTCTTCTAAGAACAAAATTTTCGAATTTTTGTATTGCATTTCTTGAAATTGTGTGTTGAAAGTGAAAAGAGCTTGTAGCTTCCCTGTTCTTTTAAAACTATTTTGACCGAGAACGTGACAATAAAGGTCCTTTATTACCTTTGACTGCAATCAGAAAAGAAAGTTTGATTGAAAAATGATCTAATAAATATGTTCTTTGTCATTTTTAAATTAAGATTCATCTCATAAATCCATCACAATCTATCAGCGCTGTCGCCATCGCTTGTCACTCAAAGTTGATCACGTGCATCGGAAAATGTTTTGCGATTACCATAGTCTATAAACCGATATCCTAGCTCCGGTCACTTCATCTGCGTGGTCTGTATTTTAACACATGCGACAGAGATAAGTATAAATGACCTGTTGACAGACAGAGACAAAATAAAAAGCGGCATAGAGTGTTGCCGGTTTTTACGTTTGTAGGAAAATGTCTGTAGAAAAAAATCATCTAAAGTCATCTTATAGTACTGAATTGAAGATAACGAATCTACGGTTCATATCAAATAACTTTTAGTTGCGTCATCGAGGGCGATTTTTAAATTAATTGTTGGCAACCATGGACATATACGGCGCCGTGCTGAATAAGTGGAATTTAAACTTCCCGCCAGAGATTCAGGTGGCAGTTCTACTGTCAAAAATGTCAAGTTGCCCTATTTATCTATTTATTTCCTGACATTGTCATTCGTTTTGACACTTTAGTTTTTTAGTTTAAACAAATAGTGTTCTAATACTTTAAGCTTAAAAATGTTTACTAGCAGACCTTCCAGTCGAACATTTTTCTTTTTATAAATTCTTTTAGTGCAAAGTGTACAAGATATCTTAATAGCCGTAAAAATCTCATCGCAACTTTATTAGAATATTTTGAACGGGAAAGCGGTAGTAATGGTCTTTTATGTCCCGTCAAGTGGTGTTAAGAAGGTAAGTTTTGTTGATGTAAATAATAAATGTTTATATATTTATAAATGGGTAACGCTGGCGCTGTGAGGGTCAAGCTTAATCGCGTGACTAAAAGTTTATTTGTTATGAACTGTAAGCCAAATATCATCTGTTACAGCTGTAGTTAAATAAGTAACTAATAGTGAAAAATAAAGCTGCAAACATTTTTCATAAACGCCTATTTGTGCGGTTTGAAATTTTGATGCAAAATCCGGCAATACCGCATAGGAGAAATGTATCAACCCAACTTTTATATATTTTTAATAAATTATTTGATTTTCCATTAAGCTGTCGGCATCACTCATTAAGCTCTCTCTTACACGTTAAAATCCAGACAACGCAGGTTCGACGACCAGATCGGTAGAGTCCGGTAGAGTTATGAGCGATTCTCACTATACAAAATGTGACCGTCACGTTGCCGTACCCAGTGGCGGATACAGAGGGGGGCCCATGGAGCCCGCCCCCCCCCTAAAATCTGTAAATTGGGTTAAAAATGGCACCCTAAAAAACATATTCTACATAATTTTTTATTTAGGCTCCCCCTAAAATAAATTCCTGTATCCGTCCCTGGCCGTACCGTCTCCAAACCGACAATATGACGCAAATGAGTTGGACGTTACTGACCGTGTGAATATCTTTGTTGATAGCAATTTAAGAACATTTACTGTAACGTTGGCGGTATGGTAACGTGACGGTGACATAGTGTTGCCAGACATTTCCGAAAGATTTTTTCTTAAAAAAAGCCTTCATATTCCTTCAACTTCACAAAAAATTCCAGATCTTGAAAAAATCACAAAATTTCGCTTATTTTACCTATTTTATAATTAGGAGAACATTTTTAAAAACTTATTTCTGGTAATTTTTGGACACCGATGTATTTAAATAAACTTTTTATTAAAAAAAATAACACGATTAAAAATGCTGTGATAGATACTTCTATCAATATAGATATTGGGTAAAAATGAATTTTATTCATTTATATTTACGCAACTTTCTACAATGTTCTTAAATTACATTTGATATACCTAGAATTACTGAAAATATATAGCACTTAAGCCTGATTTTCATGCATCCGTTATACGTTGGTCCGACGGTGCTCTGATTGGTCATAGCGTTTCGCGCCACAGCCCATCAACGGATCCGTTCATACGATAACGGACGTTTTGACACTCTTTTGACAAATTTAATCTAACCTTAATAAAAAATATAAGTAAAATAGCAAAATCGTTATGGAAACGAACATATAAAATGACACCAACGTATATCCGATAAACGGAGGCATGAAAATGCAATAAATTTAAAAACTGCGTTATTTTCTAACCAATCAAAGTCTTTAAATTCTACCAATAAAAGTAATATCCTATCAGCGTATCGTTGGACAACGGATGCATGAAAATCAAGCTTTACTAATAGAAACTATTTCAACAATACTAAAAATAAAACACTGCAATGTTTTCAGTTATATTTTTATTCATCTCATCACTCTTCTTTCACACTAAATCTACATAAAAAATTTAGTTTTCTACATCCACAGCCGCGTAAAAAATTAAGTACTAATCAAACAATAACAAAGTAAAAAAGTGTCATACTAATGGCAACTATAAAATAAGAAAAAACGGAATGCTATTTCTAAGAAAATATCCGTTTAGTTCTTAAAAAATCCGCTACAGCTAGAGCAAGCACAGATCCAAAAACGAAGAGACCACCAGCCATAGACGCACCAGGAGATTCACCTAAAAAATACCGAATGAAATCTTTTAATATTACATTAATGCCTAAATTTTAGTTCTAAAACAAGTTATTACAGTGCAAAATTACACCAAATAAAACAATATACACTTATAAAACACTCAGAATAAAGTTTAATTGAAAGACTGGTATTGAGCGCAGCTGAAACACGCTGAAAGATCTACGAATTTTCAATAAAAGCCGCAAAACTTAAGCAACAATATCAATTTTTATCCCTCTAACGTAGTTTAACCAGAGAAGAACAATCGTAGAGAAGCGACAAAAACCGTCGGCACTATTGAAGTAAGGGGGACCAAGTTTTGTGACCTTCAAATTGGCGTACGTGAGAGATAGCATGTTTATAGCTACACCGAGAGAAATTCAATGAAGGCAAAAGAAATAAGAAAAGCTGTACACTGAAAAAAAAACATGTGTTCAGTAAAAAGTATATTAGAAATATTTAGGAATCATATTGAATAGTAACTATCTTTTAAGATTTAACAGGTTTCTGCGATTTGTGGATTTACCGCGTTCTATCCATTTTCTAACCTATTCCTTTTAGAGGGACATTTTCAAATCGTATCTGATAATATTGTTTGCTTCGAAATTAATATTTGAAAGTGTGTTTTTGAGAAAAACAATTTTAAGAAAAATTCGAATATTTATCAGCTGTTATCACAAGCGTTAAAACAAACCAAAAAGTAAATAACATGATTACAGTTGAGGGTTGGAACTGGGGTATTACAACAGCAAAATAAAACACTAATTCACCGCAATACACCAAAACACTTTACTTCTGCAGTGCATCAGCAGATGATTAAAACTAAAATGATTAAAAAACATAATATCTTTATAATATGAGAACATAGATGGTAGATTAAATTTAAAAGAAAGAAAAGCCAGAAAAGATTCAGCGGTTCTGAAAATGTAAGCAAATTTATTTTTAATTTTCAAAGAATCTATCGGTTATTCTGGACTTTTTTGAAAAACGGTAAAGAGAAAAAATAGCTTCACTTATCGAGATCTACTAGCCCTGGAAATATTTACACTTATTTAAGACTCATCCTGTATTTTAAAAAATCATATTTTACATAAAAAAACCATATTATATTAAAGATAACACAATTCAGATTAGCGTCGCTAATATATTATATATGCGATTAAATATTTCATTTTCTAATAGTTTTAATTTTCTAATTATTTTTTATTAAACGCTAACAAACCTGCATCTATTTTAAGTTTTAATAATATTTAGTTCTAAAAGTTAGTTCTTTCTTTAAGTACTATTATGGTAAGGATAAAATATAGAAAAATTAATTCAAAGAGATTAATTATATACACAAATAAAAAAATAGTAAGATTTCAGAACTTTATATTCATAATGGTAACGCTGGCCGTATTCCGAAAACACGTTGAGATGACAGTTAGCATGTTTACAGTCCAAATTTTTAGGCGGGATTCGTTTTGTCGCTTCTCTACGATTGTTCTTCTCTGGTTTAACGGTCAAAAAAAGCTCTTTCCTGATGAAAATAATTAATAAGTAGAGACGAGACAAGTTGCCGATTCCGACTATTTAGTGGTTTGTTTTTTATAAAAAGTTATTTTTGCATTCATTAATAAGATTAAAGAAGGAGTCTACTATTATCTTTATACTGATGCTTTAGAGATGGAAATGGCTTCGTCAGTTTTGTTTTTTAGGAATTTTATATTATCTTGTCTTGTTTACAAGGTATATAAATTTCGAAAGACACAATGTGTCAAGAATTCAACTACATCAGTGAGATTACTTCCTTAGTATTTTATTCAGTGTTTTTATGGGAACATCCAACATATAAGCGTTAGTGAATTATTAAAAGCACCTGTAGCACTAAATTACTGTTAGTGATTATTAGATTAATAAAAAAAAACACCTCACACCTGAGCGAGAATCCTCATCAATAGAAAGACGGGGAAGATGATCTATTGAACAAGGAAAATTATTTTAAGCAATGTAGTGAACCCAATGACTAGTAAAAATACAAGGACGCGTAACATGCAATGGGCTGGAACAAAATCTGTGATGCTAAAATATAAAAGGCAGACATGTAAAAAATAAAATAAAAAACATTCAAATAATTTATAAATTATTTGTGAAACAATTAAAATTCCTTTTTTTATTTAAGTCGGAAGTTTGACACGGCACAATTGCTTGGTGTCAACTGGTAACAATTTGGTTAACTGTTATTGGTCCTTGTACTCTGTAGTCACTGATTGAACCCATAAGCCTAACCTAAGATATTTTTTATAGTTTACTTACTCGATCTTGAACGTGACTTTTCTTCAACTTCCCATCCTAAGCTCCTACTGATTCCCATTTTCCACCTAGTATACTTCATATCTCGAACTAAAACGAAGAAGAATAAATCAACATAAACTTTTTTCAAAACCTCAACACTTTTTCAAATTAATTGTAAACTTTTTAGCACATACGGTATCTAAAAAACTTATTGTATTAAAAACAACTTACCACTCTCAGATATGGAAGGTTTAAAAACATCATTAGGCGTGGCTACTATCTTTCTAGGGTCCCACACTTCAACACCAGGTGCGCAACCGGCGGCTATCGCAGCGCCCAAGGCCGTAGTTTCCAACATAGTAGGTCTAACTAAACAAATTACCCCACTGCATACTGTTTACCTCACTTTAAAGAGTACTTTTAACTCACCTACGGGGATACCACAGTAATCGGCTTGCATCTGCATCAAATAATCATTTGCAGTCATCCCGCCATCAACTAAAATCTTCTTTAAAGGAATCTTACAGTCTAGAGCCATAGCTTCGAGGACATCTCTTACTTGATAACAAACGCCTTCGAGGGCTGCTTTAACTAGATGCCCGGGTTTGGTTTCTTCACTTAAACCACATATAACACTACCAAAAAAAGGAATATATTTTATACTGCAAAATAACTATTTTGTAGTAGCGATTGCTCAGTGATCGTTCAACGTCATGATCATTTCATAGTGATCTGCAGTGGCGGCTTAACCATGAGGTCAAATGGTCAATGCCGCCCCAAAAAATCAGGAGAAAATTAGAAAAACCTATTTAAATTGTACTTTTTGTAAATCACATTTTTTCCATCCTAAGATATTCGAAACTATTCCCAAAAATCTTCAATTTGTGCAATTTTCGCTTGAAAACGTTTTATTTTACCCATTTTCTCCTACTGCCGTAAGGTATAGTACGTAGAGAAAATATATTAGGTTAAGGTGGCGATCAGGGGTGGATGGGCCATATGGGAAAACGGGAAAATTCCCGGTGGGTCGGTGTAAAAATGAGCCGGTGGGCCGGTTCCGATCAGAGCTCAAGAAAGATTGAATTAGCAAAAATTAATGCTCGATTTTTAACATCTTTTTTTGCAAAAAAAAACCTCATAGACGTGTTCCTGGGGTCGAAATATACCACCAGTGAAAATATTTGCACTTGTTTAACACTCACCCTGTATAGTTTTACCAAATATTCTTTTATTAATAACTAATAAATATGACTGACTGGCAGCAAAAAAAAAAGAATGAATAGTATTAGGTAAATTTAAATAGTCTCGATCTAAATGTATACTAAGAATACGGTAGCGTAGATTGACAACTGGGGGCCTCGGTACAATATTTTTCGAGCTCCCCTTTGTAAAAAGGTAGACGAATTTGACGCGAACTCTGCGGTTGACGGAGAAAACATATCTATGCTTGGCTTGAATTGAGGCGGGACGGACTAAAAGCCAAGTCTGAGAACTAAAAACCAAGTATAAATCGTTGTTTAAAATGTTGCTAAAATGAATTTGCTAAAAATTACTGAGACAGCAGAGAAGAGTTAAATAAGGTTTAAATTAGATTAGATAATAAAATATTAATGTCTCGAAAATCCAAATATTCTTATTATGGACTGTAACATAACATTACATCAGAACATATTTATATCCAATGCCTAGATATTGCCTAGGGTTTTTTCGTTGGAGTCATGGCATTATCTTACAAGAAGCCAAATGTACAAAAGTATAGAGGAAAAGTTTCGTGATAAGAAATATATAATAACCTAAAATATGCTGCAGTTTTAATGGCGACCGCCGGTTCATTCAGTTAAAAACACGTGTACACGAGGAGGCTGCTGCTCTATAATGTATAAGAAAGTATATACCTGAAGAGCTAAAAGTAATATATTTCACAGAGGATAGGGTCAGCTGAACTGAATGAATCAGGAAGTCTTAAAGTTTCTCAAAATCGTGACTCGGAATCGTAGCGTATTCAAGATCAAATTACCGTTATCGATAATGGAAATAAAGCAGTAGAACCCTCTAAAACTGAGCCATTTTGTAATAAAAATTCAGATGTCCGACCCAATATTGGTCTTTACGAAAATTTTGATCAAGACAATTTAATTTTTTTTTAAAAAACCGGAGGCAAAAGAGATTTTTCGCACGAGCGAAAAACAACCTTACTTATATACAATTCCTCCCAGAAATAAGTGTAAATATTTTAAGGAGTGGTAGATCTGGATAAAAGAAACATATTTTCTCTTCATCGTTTTTCAAATAAGTCCAAAATAAAGCAGTTATTTTACTTTGAAAATTTCACACCTCTACTTTTCAACCAATAACATGCTTTAATGTTGACTAGTTACCATGGCAACTGAAAAAATTTCCGGAAATTTTTTCGAGGCGCCACGAAACTTTAGTGGAAATTTTTTGACAGTTGAAAAGGTAAACATAAGATCTACAATCATAATGTGAATGAACTACAATGTCTATATATTGAAATATTACCCATTTGAGTTTTAGCATTTGATGTAACTAATTAAAAATATAATAATATTTGTTAATATTATTAACAAATTGAAATTATTTTAAATATGTCATGTTGGATTAATATTTTTTTTTCAAATTTAGGTGTGAAATTTTCTTACCGAATACCACGCAAGCTTAAATTATTCCTGGAAATTTTCTTTCGGGCACGAATATTTTAGGAAAATTATCCCTCGTCTTCGACTCGGGATAATTTTCAAAATATTCGTGCCCTCAAAAAAATTTCCGAAAATAATTTAAGCTCTTGTGATATTATAAGTGAAAATTTAAAAAAAATAATTATTTGATGAAATTTTGAGAACCACTGAATCTCTTCTGGATTTTCTTTCTTGTAAATTTAATCTACTACCTATGTTGCCATATTATCTAGAAATTATGTTTTAACTAAAAACTAAAAAAAAATCCAAAACATTTTTCAAAAAATTCCGAATTTTCAATTTTTTTTTGCGAAAAAAAACCTCATAGGCGTTTCTGGGGTTCAACTATACTACCAGTTAAAATACTTGCACTTATTTCTGGGATACCTTGTATTAATAAATAAAATATGTTTCTTCATTATGGTCATTTTGTTTTTGTGGATTTGGGCCGGTTGTCTGTTTTTCCCGGGCCGGTTTCCACTTCCCCATCCACCCCTGGGTGCGATAGATATAGTTTATATTGGCTATTCACCGCGTCATTCATAAAAGGATTTCAGTCATATAGCTGGAAAAATTTCGCCGTTTGGGTGTTTATAAAAACTCAAATTATAAAACAACCTAGGTTTTTGTATCGTTTATCGCGTATCGCGTATAATGTTTGGTTTAGTCAGTATAAATCAATATTTAAATTTTTAATATCGAAAAAAATCCGATCTAGTTTTAGTTGTCGTAGCTTTGTCGTAGCCGAGGGTTTGAGGTGTAGCGCGAAATTTGTGTAGGTAATAAATTCATCATTTTCTGGTTATGGATAAATGATGAACTGTTGTTGACTGATTCTGGAATAGATATTTTCAAATAAACAACATGGTGTTTAGTTTGTAAAATCGTGCGGTTAAAAGAAAGCAATTGCTTAAATTTCGAAAAACGTTTAGGGAATGAACGCCGCATTGACTTAAAATATAAAAAAATGTGAAATAAAACTTTTAGAAATGTGTATGAGTATATATAATATGTATTTATATTATTATGAAATTATTTTTTAAGTGTCTTTTAAATCCAACCGTGGAAAATTTGTGTAAAGAATATTGACTGGCATTTTAGTGAAATAGCACTAGACCACCTGTTTAAAAATGTAAGGGTAGGTTTCATTTTAACATAATTTGTATTTATTTTTAGATTTATTTTCATTTAACTAAACGTACAGGGTGGGTCAAATTCGACGCTTTTAAATGGAAACACCCTTTTCTATAGGAGATAGACAAAATCGGTGTCTGGAGCTCAATTTTTGTCAAAAACATGATGGTGAAAACCACATATCGATATCTGTTACCGTTTCGGAGTTACGGGGTGTTTTTCAAAAATATGCATTTTTAACAAATCGCTCATTTAATATAAAGAATCCAAACTAATATGAACTGATTACCAGTGGCGGCTCGTGGTTACTATTGTAGGGAGATCAATATCTAAAAATATTGCGTCGATTTTTTTTAAGACGCGCCCAAATTTAGTTGGTTTCTTACAAGGTACTTGTACAGGGTGGGTCAAATTCGACGCTTTTAAATGGAAACACCTTTTTCTATAGGAAATAGACGAAAACTAATATCGGTGTCTGGAGCTCAATTTTTGTCAAAAACATGATGGTGAAAACCACATATCGATATCTGTTACCGTTTCGGAGTTACGGGGTGTTTTTCAAAAATATGCATTTTTAACAAATCGCTGTAACTTTTTTGCTATGGAAAATTTTGTATTTTTATGAAAACATTTCCTTTTTACGTAGAATTTAATGGTTTAAGTATAATTTTTTTAAAATTAATAATTTAAGAATTATCAACAGAAAATTTGATTTTTTATATGGGACACCCTGTATATTTTTAATTTATTGAAAATAATTTAAAATTACCTTTCCAAAAATATAACACACTTGATATTTTGCTCGATTCCTCTTCGAGATATAGAGTATATAAAAATTCGCCCGCTTTAAATAAGTAGGCTTTGAGCGGCACCGGCTGTAATGCAAAAAAATTCTAGCTGTGAGCATCAATTAAAACCAAAATAATATTTGCTATGAGAGATGCAGAATTTTATAACAATTTAAAATATATTTAATCAACATCAACACATTTAAACTATATCTAATAACGATAAAAATAAATAGCAAACCAAGACATGAGATTTTGCTAAGCGTTCGACATATCGACCGTGTTCTATTACGGACAGACGGGGCAGTTTTTGAAAATTTCTTGCGGAATTCGTTAACTCAGTGGGAGTAAAAGATACCCTCTTATAAATATTTTTAATTCTTGTCTAGATTATACGGAAGAATAAGGAACCCCATTCTTCCGCAAATATATCCATAGGATTAGATCTATGGGCACTAAGTCAGGCGGCCTCGACGGCCAACGGCTGGGATCTTGGTTAGCTATCTAATTATTTTTGAAGTTGGCTGCAAAAATTTGCTGATAACTTCAGCGTTCAAAGGCGGTGCGTCGTTTTGCTGGAAAAATATGTTTTCGAGTTCCATTAAGGGCATATCATCAATAAGGGGTCCAAAGCCTACTAGTTAAAAGTTGCGAACTTTTAAAAATGCTGTATTTCGAAGGAGATTATAACAAAATATCAAGTGTGCTATATTTTTGGAAAGGTAATTTTAAATTCTTTTCAGTTAATTAAAAATATGGAGGGTGTCCCAAATAAAAAATAATTTTTTCTGTTGATAACACTTAAATTATTAATTTAAAAACAATTATACTTAAACTATTAAATTCTACGTAAAAAGGTGCTTTGGAAATGTTTTCATAGAAATACAAAATTTTCCACAGCAAAAAAGTTACAGCGATTTGTTAAAAATGCACATTTTTGAAAAACACCCCGTAACTCCGAAACGGCAATAACAAATATTGATTTGCGGTTTTCACCATCATGTTTTTGATGAAAACTGAGCTCCAGACACCGATATTAGTTTTCGTCTATCTCCTATAGAAAAAGGTGTTTCCATTTAAAAGCGTCGAATTTGACCCACCCTGTACAAGTACCTTGTAAGAAACCAACTAAATTTGGGCGCGTCTTAAAAAAAATCGACGCAATATTTTTAGATATTGATCTCCCTACAATAGTGACCATGAGCCGCCACTGGTAATCAGTTCATATTAGTTGTTTGGATTCTTTATATTACCGATTCTGCGCCGTCCTAGAACTCTACAGTTACGGCACATGCGTAAATGAAGACTGGCATGCATCTGACAGTCATTGACGGAAACAGTACTGGGAGAATTGTCAGCTCAGGAGCTTGGAACACCATCAAAAAGAAAATTCCACTTCTTCAACTCTCAGTAGATGACATACCAAGAATGTACAACTTTGAGAAACAACTGAGCAATAAAAAGGATTGGAACAGAGAACCGTTTGCTCACAGCAGGTTAAGACAATAGGCAAAAGACCATACTATAACGTGGTATACTGATGCTTCCAAAACCAAACCAGGAACAGGGATATATTTGGGCCGAAAACTAAATACTCCGAACCAATGGGCACCTACCCCAGCATCCTTCAGCTCTTATTTCCAGGACACCCTGTATATGACGTGACGTTGACCGATCACTGAACAACGAAGAGGTTCAAGTACCTCCTGGCATCTTTTCTCCAGTACGGAGCGTACAAGCCGGAGAAAGCTGGAACAAACACTACTTCGCCTTTATCCTGTACATTTTGGGCTATGTCACCCGATTCAGTAACGTCGTGTATAATATTTAAATTGTCCCTCAACCATTTCATTGAAATGCCTAGTTAACAAATTAATAAAATTTTAACATCTTGTAATATACAATGAATAAAACCATTACCTTCGAGAGAGAGAAGGCTAGACAACTGTGACGTAAAAATCCGTTACGTCATCAAATGTAGGCAATCAGTTTAGAATGACGAACCTATGGTAATCGCAATACAATTTCCGATGCACGTGATCAACTTTGAGTGACAAGCGATGACGACAGCGCTGCCATATTGTGATGGATTTATGAGATGAATCTTAATTTAAAATTGACAAACAACATATTTATTACATCATTTTTTAAAGTTTAAAGAGTTTTACGTTTTATTTTTATAACTAATATTTTAGTAATTAATTGATTTATTTATTTTATAGCTTATTTTACTTACTACAAATTGGCAAAAACTAGTCCATTATGAAGATTATTATAAGCGTTATTATGGGTTATTTATTTATTGATGTACATCGTACAACGCCATAAGTGGTAATAACAAGTAAAAGGGTGCTATTAATGCACAAACTAATAATTACAGAATTTAATAAAAACTAACTTTGAAAGTCGTATAATGTGCTTATCAATCAAACTTACTTTTCTGACGCAGTCAATGGTAATAAAGGACCTTTATTGTCACGTTCTCGTTCAAAATAGTTTAAAAAAAAACAGGGAAGCTACAAGCTCTTTTGTTTCGACTGTTTCAATGCTTCGGCATATTTTCAACACACAATTTCAAGAAATGCAATATAAAAACTCGAAAATTTAGTTCTTAAAAGAACTGGTTGTGCTTAAAATGCAATTTTTAAAAAAAGACTTTGAAAATAGGCACAAAAACGATAATTATTCACAAAGATTCAACAACAACACGATATTATACAAAGTAATGACCGACACTAGTATAATTGTCAAATAATAAAGGACAACATTGCTGAACACGACACAATGTGACCAACATAGAGATAATAGAATTCGGTTTAAATTAATTTTTGCAGCTTTAATCTAAATAAAATATCTGTTACAATCATTTGCTCTATAAAGTAAATTAAAGAGCTGCTCGGTATCTTAAATTATACTACAAATGTAAACATTTTTGCCAAAATTTCATTTAGTCAGGTTTTTAGACTTTAGTGTCAATGTCGATATGATTGATGACGTGCTTCAGAAAATGTTTTGAGAGTACAATACTCCAATTTTTCGTTATTTTATACAAGGTTGTCAGAATTGTATTCGAGAAACTTCGGCAGCATATTCTAGCGGTAAAAAAGTTTGTATAAATTTATGTCCTAAAATGCTTCGTTTCTGAGGGTACATACAGGGTGTAGAAGTTTCATTTTTATTTCGATTTTTTCCAAATTATTTCTGAACCAATGTCTATATTAGGATGAAAATTGGTGTCTGGGTGTCTCGATGTCAATATGAAACTTTTTTTCGTACACCCTGCACCTATTCTATCGCCCGTTTTTGATGACGTCACGCGTATTCCGAGAGGCCTTCTCTGTTCACGAGAGTAACGATTAAACACAAAATTTAAAAATAAATCTATTTCAACTAAGTATACCTATAAATTAAATATAACCTGCAATTGCCACAGAGCCTTCCAGAGCATAGATGGTGGGTTGATTTGGTCCCATTTTATAACCTACAGTAGTCAGAAGTCCGTGAGTTGACTGTACCATCTTTAACAAAAAAAAACAAATATATATCATTATCAATTGATAATTGTATTGTTTGTTCAGCGATTCAAAAATTGTATTGTTTGTTCAGCGATCTTTCAACGTCACATCATATATTGTCAAACTTACTCAATCATTTGACAACCAGAAAAAAGAGATCGGTGAAGGCATTTCGTAAATTACTGGACATTGTTTTTAGCTTTTAATAAAAAGATTAAGAGTCTGTTACGCTTTACTGTTCGGGTCGCTCTCAGGGGTCGGGTAAAGCGGGTGTGTGGCCGAAGGATATATATATTATATTTCAGAAATCTGGCTAAGGTTTAGCCCGATCCTGTCGTGTTAAGCCACACCCAAAATTCCAAACACACGCTTTGATTAAAGCTTCATTCAGAACCTCCCAATTAGTGGAATAAATTAATGGTTTCAATTACACTTTATACTTTTTAGTTTACGATCATTCACAATGACTAATAAACACAATTAAAATTAATAAAATATCCTAGCAACAGCTTGCGGTAGTCTATTGTATCCATAGAGAAATTAAATTATAAAACAATAAACTTTTGATTTCTAACCAAAATTTTTCTTAAAAGGTGATAATCAAAGGCCAAAATAACATTCCTCGCAAATTTTGAAGTATAATTAGTGGAAAAGTCAAAAGTTTGTTAACTTTTTCCACTAATTGAAAATTACTACTACTAATTATTATGTTCTGAATGCTTACATTAAAATTAGGTAAAAAAAAATTCTACGGCTAACTAAAACTACTAATTTATTCGACTGATTTCGAGGTTCTGAATGAAGCTTAAGGCTTGATTAAGGTTTGCAAAGCTTCAGCATTTGCCATAAAATAGTAAGCAATTTGTTACAAACCATATAAATTATATATCACTCTAATCACAAAGCTTCAATCTATTTCCGTATTGTAACGGATTTTTTAATTATGTCTTTATTTTCGAGAACATTTAGTCCAAACATAAGGAATATTTTGTTGATATTTGACCATCAAAATCTCAAAAATAAAGAAGTTGTCTAAAAATGTGCTACAATACGGACATAGTATAATCCTTTATCTTTAATTTCTTTCTTCACTTGTGTAAAAATAACTAGCCAGTTTTACATAAAACGTTAAATGCCGAACGCTTATTTTGCTACTTTTTCGGACTAGTGAAATGGACTCTTAAGAAAGGAGCATATCAAAAATCTTAGATCGACCGCGACGGGCTGCATTTAAGCAAGATGTACCATTATTTAGTCCATAATGTGATTTTCTCTACTCTCATTGGTCGAGACTAAATGCTGGTGCGTTTTGCCAAACATGACTAAAATGCGGTACATTTTGCCACGTTAGCATGAGGCATTCCAAACGCAGGTACATGTTGCTAAACTTTACTAAAACGTGGTTTATTATGCCTGAGATCGAATGGCATTAACCTTTTCAATAGCCCTGAGAAAAATAAAAAAAAATTGACGGATTGATATGACAAATTCCCCCAAAACACGCCGCCGTTATACTCTTTTCTCAAATAGTTTTCATTAGACAGACGTTGTTTTTGTGTGTTTGAATAAACTTTAGCATTTTTAATTGATATCTACTATGACATCTGAAGGTTTGACGTATATTTTACCGGATCAATTTCGATTCAGTGTAAAATTATATTAAAATTAGGTAAAATAGTTTTGGTTTAAGGTAGCATTATTTATGCTGAACTAAAAACAGCAGAAGATTGCGACGCATGGATTTCAGAATTTTCGCGACTAAATTCAGTTGCTTGGATTGTACGGCGAACTTTTACTTTGTTCTTTCCGTATTGGACAGGCTGTATGGAGGTGGCTTTGGGACAAAAATCACGCAGTTTCCAAGAAAGATCGACCATTATTATACAGGGTGGCGCACCTCATTCGCCTCGGTTGATGTAGAAACAAAATTTTTTATGGGTATATGTAGAGAAACAATGTGCATAATTTAAAATTATTTTGAAATGTACAGGGAGTGTTAGAACTAAGATACATACTATTCATTTTACAGATACAGATCCATACTATTCCATTTTATTTCATTTTTGGATTCTTGGGCTTAAAATAAGGCATTTATTATAAGGGTTTAATATGTTTAGATGCTTTGGTTTTTGAGATATTTAAAGACATTTAAATATGCATGCTCTAATAAAAAAGTTTGTCAACACCCTGTACATTACTTTTCAGAGTTTATTCTTGTGGCGACTTTGAAGCCAGAGAAATGAACTTAACTATTGCTTTCTTAAATGTATACAGGGGTATCAAAAATTACTGGTCTATTTTAAATATTTATTTTACATAAAAACTTCGTTATTTCTATGTATGATGCAATTTTTGTTACCCCTGTATACATTTAAGGAAGCAATCAAATTTTTTAGTAAGGTTTATTTCTCTGGCTTGAAAGTCAGCACAAGAATTAATTCTGAAAAGTAATGTACAAGGTGTTGCCAAACTTTTTTATCATAGCATGCATATTTAAATATCTTTAAATATCTCAAAAACCAAAGCATTTAAACATATTAAACCCTTACAATAAATGCCTTATTTTATGTTCAAAAATCCAAAAATGAAATAAAATACCTGGTGTGTGTTCCATAAGAAAAAATATAACTTTGCTATGGATCTTAATTCTGACACACCTTGACACGACGTGAGTTCTGACACAACCAAAATGGTACAGGGTGGACCATTTTGGTTGTTTCTATAGGGTATCTAGAAAACCGTGAGAAATATTCAAATTTTAATACTGCAGTCTCGGGTTCTTTTTTTGAAAAAATTACAATGGCGCAAACGGATCGTGGCTATTTTGATCGGTTTCGAAGCTACAGGGGGATTTTCAAATTTTGTACTTTTTGAAGACGTTCGATAGTTTGTTTATTTCAGTAACCACGGAAAAATGAATTATACATTCTAAAGGCACTTTTCTGTGTAGAATGCAGTGGCGTAGTCAGACTTTTTTCGAAAAAAATATTTTTTGTGATATTAACTATACTTATGTTTTTTTTTAAATATAACCTCCTGTATATTTTTAAATTTTCTTATTCAGCTTCGCATGGGCTTCTTGAAAATATATAACACTCTATATTTATTTTCACTATTAACCTCAACATTTCAAATTTTTCTTAAAATATCCACTTAGTAGATAGTAGGCCACGCCGCGTAACAAAGTAAACGGTTGTCATGGTGATCGGGACATACCTTTGATGGATGCGTGACATTTCATTTCAACAGATTGAAGTGTGTGTATATTAAATAATAAAAAATGAGTAAATTTGAAAATTTTGAGAAATATAATGTTAGAATGTTATATTAAGTCTAACAAACATAAGCAAATGGCAGCTGATTTATATTTTGAGCGGTATCCAGAGCGCGAGCAACCAAACCCAGCCATTTTTAAAAGGTTAGGAGATAGTTTAATCAATTTTGGATCTTTTCAAAAACCGCGTCTGAAAAATTATCAGAAAGAAGATGAATGAAATAAAATATTAATGTCCTCGGAGCCGTAACACTAGATCCAACAACATCAAGTAGAGCTATTGAAATGCTGTTAACGGCGGCGTGCGGAGACAGTACCAACTCTGTCTAGATAATAATGGGCAGCAGTTTGAACATTTAATGTAGTCTTCGTGTTTTTATTTGTTTTATATTAACTGAGAAGCCCGGTTGAAGTAACCTCTTGAGTTTATATTAAAATATGTTCTTTTGTTTCTGTCACACTTATTTTTTATTTGCTTCGTATTGTTCGATTTTATTTAATTGCTAATTCATGTACTCGGCTCTGAGGACACTAACCTAACATATTGATTTTCTTCATCTTCATTCTGATAATTTTTCGGACGCGGTTTTTGAAAAGTTCCAAAATTGATTAAACTATCTTCTAACCTTTTAAGAATGGCTGGGTTTGGCTGCTCGCGCTCTGGATACCGAAATCAGCTGCCATTTGCTTATGATTGTTAAACTCAATATAACATTCTAACATATCATATTTCTCAACATTTTCAAATTTACTCATTTTTTTATTATTTAAAATACACACACTTCAATCTGTTGAAATGAAATGTCACGCATCCATCAAAGGTATGTCCCGATCACCATGACAACCGTTTACTTTGTTACTTGGCGCGGCCTACTATCTACGAAGTGGATATTTTAAGAAAAATTTGAAATGTTGAGGTTAATAGTGAAAATAAATATAGAGTGTTATATATTTTCGAGAAGCCCATACCAAGCTGAATAAGAAAATTTAAAAATATACAGGGGGTTCTATTTAAAAAAACATAAGTATAGTTAATAGTTAATATCTCAAAAAATATTTTTTTCGAAAAGTCTGACTACGCCACTGCATTCTACACAGAAAAGTGCCTTTAGAATGTATAATTCATTTTTCCGTGGTTACTAAAATAAACAAACTATCGAGCATCTTTAAAAAGTACAAAATTTGAGAATTCCCCTGTAGCTTCGAAACCGATCAAGATAGCCACGATCCGTTTGTTTGCGCCATTGTAATTTTTTCAAAAAAAGAACCCGAGACTGCAGTATCAAAATTTGAATATTTCTCACGGTTTCCTAGATACCCTATAGAAACAACCAAAATGGGCCACCCTGTACATTTCAAAATAATTTTAAATTGTGTACATTGACCACATATACCTGTCTGTGTTACAGAGACGCCACGATACACGAGTTATTTGGGTTAAAAGACCTAAATACAAAATATTTTCATGGTGTTTGTCTGTCCGTGTGTAACACGATAACTCAAAAACCGCTAAACCGATTTTAAGCAAATTTGGCACAAAAATACTGTGGCACCCGAGAATCTGGCCATTAGCTTTTGGTGGGATGGGGGGTTGTTAAGGAGGTATAAAAGGGGATTAAAAATTTTAAAAAATCGTAACTCCAAAATTACAATAGCTAGTGAAACGCGGATTCAATTTAAGATTAGGAATATTTGCAACAAAATTTGCAATAACATCAAAATCAGCCAAAGTCGCAGTTTTTGAGATAAAAAAAAAATAGGAAAATTCCTTTACTTTGAAACTAAAAGAACTGCCTACCAACTTTTTATTAACATATTTTAGTATGGACTATACGTGCCTCCCGGCACCGATTTTTGGGACAAAAACGATATTTATTAATTTATTTAAGAGTTTCGTCCTCTGAATTCATGTTTAATATACAATTTTGTGTTGTTTGTATTTTTCAAGTATCTTTTTTTACCCAAAAAATGACTTACTTTTAGCACGTCTTAATAAAAATACGTGTTAAATATCCAATCTACCGATTTTTACCGAATGTTGACCAAGATATCAACGAAAAATAAAATTTTGGTGGTGGCAACACTGTATTTGACAAATAACGATGACGTAACGTTGAACGATCGCTGAACAAACAGTGTGGCTTTACATACACTTGTTCCTGTATTGTATAAAATAAAACACCCTGTACCATAAGTGCTCTTTGCCTGGCCCATATTAAAACATAACTGGCCCACTAGAGCTGCTTGTTGGTCACCTAGTATCTTAAAAAAAAACAGGCCAGTAAGCGAGGATAAAAATAGGGTATTACCTCCGAATTCTTGACACCCGCACCGATTGACGTGAAATTTTAACAGTGAATAGAGATATATGTAAGAAACAAAAGTTACATTGTAGCGATGTGTGCTTTCACCCCGGGGGCGAGTGCCACCCCTTCTCTTGGGTGAAAAATAAATCACCCATTTTAATTACAAAAATCAATAAAGGGATGTTATATACAGGATGGCGCACCTCATCCGCCTCGGTTGATTATACGAAAACGGAAAGATGTAGAAACAAAATATTTTATGGGTATATGTGGGAAGACAATGTGCACAGTTTAAAATTATTTTGAAATATACAGGGTGTTTCAGAACTAAGATCCATATCAAAGTTATATTTTTTCTTATGGAACACCCGGTATTTTATTTCATTTTTGGATTCTTGGGCCCAAAAAAAGGCATTTATTATAAGGGTTAAATATGTTTAAAATCTTTAGTTTTTGAGATATTTAAAGATATTTAAATTTGCATGCTACAATAGAATAGACTATTAACACCCTGTACATTACTTTTCAGAATTAATTCTTATGCTGAGTTTAAAGGCAGAGAAACTTTACTCAAAAATGGTATTGGTTCCTTAAATTTATACAGGGCTGTCAAAAGTTGCTGATCTATTTTAAGGATATATTTTATATAAAAACTTCGTTATTTCAAATGCAACACCCTGTATTTTTTTAAATAAATTGAAGGAGATTCAAATACTCTTTAAAACTATATTAGGGTTTCCTATACCTATCTAGCTGAGATTTTGAATAAAAGCTTATAATTTATTTAACCCTTATAATCAAGATACCTTTTTTCGGTCCATGGCAATTTTCTAGTGAAAGTTAGTAATATTCAAAGTGTATCATAAGAAAAGTATAACATTAGTTTATGGACATCTTAGTTCTGAAACACCCTGTATATTTCAAAATAATTTACAATTGTTTAATTACCTAAGTATTCATTATTTTATCTAAAATATTTATTTTCTACATATTATTTTATAAAGAAAAATGAAGCAGTATCTGCTGGCGGAACGAATAGATATGTTACTAGTGATATCATTTTTGTGAGAAAAATTGCTTCTTGGCCTCAGGGCTTATGCTCAAAGAGATATCCAAATAGGAATCTTCCTGATAAGCGTTTCTTTGAAAACTTCTTGTCCTATTTCGCAGAGCTGGTAGTGTAGTTTATAAAAACCCTATTAGGCAGAAACCTGTCGTTGGAAGTCAATAAAATGAATTTGCCGTAATTGGCTATTTTATAAAAAAATCCATATATCTACAAGTCATCGTAAAATAATTCAAAGAACTACTTCTTCGTTTTTCTTGATTTAATAATATACACATATTTAATAAATATTATTTATTAAACTATTGTAGGTAAATTAAATAAAAGTAAATTGGTATAAATTTAAATAAGTCCATAAACTAATTACGATTTTGAAAATAGCTACTAACTGTCACTAGAAAGCTTTGCCATGACAAGCACTATGCATCTCGATTATAATTTTTATTGAGAAAAATCGCTTTTTTGCTTCAAAATCTGAGCCAAGGCAGGTATAGAGGAAACCCTAATATAGTTTGAAAGAGCATTTAAATCTGCTTCGACTTAATTAATAAAATACATAGTGTTGCATTTGAAATAACGAAGTTTTTACGTAAAATAAATATTTAAAATAGACCAGCAATTTTTGGTACCCCTGTATACATTTAAGGAAGATATAACATTTTTCTGTAAAGTTTATTTCTCTACCTTTAAACTCAGTACAAGAACTAATTCTGAAAAGTAATGTACAGGGTGTTAATAATCTATTCTAATTTAGCATGCAAATTTAAATATCTTTAAATATCTCAAAAACCAAAGATTTTAAACATATTTAACCCTTATAATAAATTTAACTATATATAATAAATACCTTTTTTTGGGCCCAAGAATCCAAAAATGAAATAAAATACCGGGTGTATCATAAGAAAAAATATAACTTTGATATGGATCTTAGTTCTGAAACACCCTGTATATTTCAAAATAATTTTAAATTGTGCACATTACCTCCCTACATTTTCCCCCTAAAATATTTTGTTTCTACATCTCTCCGTTTTCGTATAATCAACCGAGGCGAATGAGGTGCGCCACCCTGTATATGTCGCATCCATTTAGTGTAATTGTCCGTTTCATGAAATGGATATCCACTTCGTAAACTGGTTATGTTAGGTTCGCGAACTGGTTAGTTTCAGTTCGTGAAGTGGATATCCATTTTATGAACTCAAACAAAAACAAAACTCAACAAAAAAGGGATCGTTTAGCTATTCCAAAAGCTTCATTTTTACTTTATATGAGTTTTGCGATAAAACGCAAGATTTTCGAGTTATTTATAAAAATTGACAAAAAATAGGCAGTTTTTAGATGAAAAATCAATATTTTCAATCCTAATTAACTAGGAAAATATTAATTTTCTGAAAAAATGTTACAGAACATTTTTTGCTCAGAATTCATTTTTTGATCAGGATTTATTGATTTTTGTGGGTGGAAACACACATCGCTACTATGTAACTTTTGTTTCTTGCATATATTTCTATGCACTGTTAAAATTCCACGTCAATCGGTGCAGGTGTTCAGAATTCGGACCCTAAAACCCTCGCTTACTGGCCTAACATTATCTTAGAATATTTATAACAGAAAAAATTAATGTGTTTACCCCTGATATAGGAACTCTAGCTAAAGGGAGCCCTTCGATTATATAGCCGTATATTTCTGCTGAACTACGTATTTCTGGGAGAATACTTTCGGGAATACCAAAGACTTTGCACAATTGCGGATCCCACTTCAGCGTTTCTATGTTCATTAGCATAGTTCTCGAGGCATTTGTACAATCTGTTATGTGAAGTCCACCTTTCACACCACCAGTTAAATTCTAGAAAATACAATATCAGAGAAATCAATAAAAGTTGGCCTGTACAGGGTGCCCAATGTTCGTGTGTTTTATGGGGTTTCTCGTTTATGAGTAGATATACAAAGATGCGATTTTCACATCACTGTATTACTTTTTAAAAGGTAACTTCTTTAATTTAAATGGAACACCCTGTACATTTTACGAGAATCAAATGTACAATTTAATTGTCACTTATAATATCACAAGAGCTTAAATTATTTTCGGAAATTTTTTTGAGGGCACGAATATTTTGAAAATTATCCCGAGTCGAAGACGAGGGATAATTTTCCTAAAATATTCGTGCCCGAAAGAAAATTTCCAGGAATAATTTAAGCTTGCGTGGTATTCGGTAAGAAAATTTCACACCTAAATTTGAAAAAAAAATATTAATCCAACATGACATTTTAAAATAATTTCAATTTGTTAAGTTGGCCAAGGTATTGATGTTTTTGACATATGTGTTTTGTCATTTTTGTTTGCGATTCTGTCATTAAGCTATTACTAGTTTTAAAACGTCTGTACGTAGAGTAAAAGTGTATAGCGAAATGTCGCGATTTGGAAAAAGTAAACCAACATGTCATTAAAGAAGAAATTGAAAATATAAAACCAGATAACACCCGAAAATCAAAATCAAGTGTATATCCATCATATTTCGTTAAATAGAAAAATACCAGCTTTAGTTAAATAAAGGCGGCAGAACTATATTTTTAGAACATGGCAATTTCGAAGAAATTCATATGTAGGTATATCTAACATATTTCCTTAAATAAAAAATATTACCAACCTTAGTTACATCAAATGCTAAAACTCAAATGGGTAATATTTCAATATATAGACATTGTAGTTCATTCACATTATGATTGTAGATCTTATGTTTACCTTTTCAACTGTCAAAAAATTTCCACTAAAGTTTCGTGGCGCCTCGAAAAAATTTCCGGAAATTTTTTCAGTTGCCATGGTAACTAGTCAACATTAAAGCATGTTATTGGTTGAAAAGTAGAGGTGTGAAATTTTCTATCAAATTGTATTATACCATTTCTTACCTATTTCTTCAAGTTTCCGTAGAAAATGCATTTTATTAGCACCTGTACATTTTGTATATTTGTAGCTTTAAAAAAAATCTAAAATATCAATATTCCATGGGTATATTTTTAATCGACGTCTAAATTATAGGAAAATGCATTTTCTTATAATCGAATTTTCTTATTTTCTTATATTTCGAAAACTTGAAGAGATAGGTAAAGAAGGGTATGATACAATTTGATAGACGGTTAAATTGTGTATCTGATTCTCGATTCTCGTAAAATATACAGGGTGTATACAGGTACATTTATTTTCTAGAATTTCCGTTTATTTCTTAGAATTCCTGATTATTTGTAGAATTTCCATTTATTTTTTGAATTTCTGTTTATTTTTTAGAATTCCTGTTTATTTTTTTTAGAAGTTCTCTTTATTTTTTTAGAATTTCTGTATATTTTTTATATATTTTTGTTTTAATGTTGTCCCGATTATGTGCAAAACAACAATAATCAGGTTGAAATAAAAATATTTGCTTGAGCTCTTGATTTTACTTGATACTAAACGCAGTTTTACATAAAAAACAAAAACAAAAATAAATATCAAAACTTGATATATATCGGATATACATCAGATATATATCGGATATACAGAAAAGTCCACAGACGAGACATAGGAAAATCAAGTCCATTTAGCGTGTGTCCAAATTTTGAGAAGTTTTCAAAAATGACATGAGTTTTGTTTAGACTGACGTTTAATTTCACCTGACCTTTTGGTGAATGATTTCTTTTTATAGGGGTACATAAAATCTAAAATTTACAGCCATGAAGAATTTAAAAACTTGGAGCAGTTAAAGCAGAAAATATTCAATGCCTTTGACACTATCACCCCTGATATGTTATCCAATGTGAGGAGGGGATTTTATAATCGTTTGGGTTATTGTTTAATGCAAGAGGAAGGCATTTTTGAACAATTTTTGTAATTTTTTAAATTTCATTATCCTGTTTTTTTACCGTTTACCCATTACCTACCTTGACGAACATGGGAAATCAAACAAAGGTTCTTTTCAGGACCACAAATATTTTGATCGAGAATTTTTTTTATTTTGAAAAAAAAACAAAAGTTGTTAATATAATACCAAATTAAAAGTGTTTTAGTAGTTTTAATACACACTATGATATAAAATTTATTATTATTATAATGTACATTATTAATACTATTATTCATTCGAAATGGCATTAAGGCCCAATTGCACCAATGATTTAAATTTTTCTTAAAGATAAGTAGAGGTTAGAATGAGCTGTATCCTTGCTGTATTTATATTTACTTTAATATTCACCTTAAATCAAGGAATTTGACTGATACAATTTTTGAATTTGAATTGTTTTTAATGATACTAACAATTTTAGTTCAATTTATAATAAAATTTATTTAATATTAATAGAAATCCAAGAGATTTGAAACCTCTTTTAGCGATTTATAACACTCTCAAATGAATTACAGGTGCCCTTATTTTCTATGAAAACTACACAGCTTTTTTCATAGTCGCTGCAGTTGCTATAGCTATAAAAAACTAATTTTTTAAGGTGTGAAAATTGCGACACACGCTAAATGGACTTGATTTTTCCTATGTCTCGAAGTCTGTGGACCTTTCTGTATATATCCGATATTTGATATTTATATAAATATCATGATATTTGCCAACCCTGACACCCTGTATATTTTACGAGAATCAAGTGCACAATTTAATTGTCCATCAAATTGTATTATACCATTTCTTACCTATCTCTTCAAGTTTCCGTAGAAAATGCATTTTGTTAGCACCTGTACATTTTGTATATTTGTTGCTTTAAAAAAATCTAAAATGTCAATATTCCATGGGTATATTTTTAAATGAGGTCTAAATGATAAGAAAATGCATTTTCTACGAAAACTTGAAGAGATAGGTAAAAAAGGGTATGATAAAATTTGATAGACGATTAAATTGTGTATCTGATTCTCGATTCTCGTAAAATATACAGGGTGTTTCACTTAAATTAAACAAGTTATTGCCGTTTAAAGCTAGTAATTATTTAAAATAAATTGTTTGATACTCTGTATAAGATAGAATTATTTTTATTATTGCAACACAATATCTGATCAATAAACTTCAGTAAATATTTAGCATTAAAATCTTTCATACGCTTGGAGAAATGAAACCTTAAAATTTTTACTACAATTCAACAAAATTGAATATATTTCAAAAAGGGTAAGGTGTGATAAACCTTAATTAAATTTACCTTTATTTCAATCGCAGAATCTAAAAATAAAATAATATACAGAATGTTCTATTTAAAAAAATACAGCTATATTTTTTATTTATTTCGGACACTTTGTATCTTGTAAAAATATTTTTAAATTGTAGCTCTAATAGTCCTTCAACAAACCCAAAACTTACAATTTGTAAAAAAATCTAATCGTTTAGCTACAATACTCTGTGTCGTATGTGGTGAATAACCCTGTATAATATATTTTTTGTATCTTATAAAAAATGCAGAGTAGTTCTATGTTCACAGAATATTGGGACACCCTATACAGGGTGCTACAAATTCGAGGTACAAGCATTGGTATCTCGGTAACCGTAATAGATACGAACATGGTTAAATTGCTGACCTATTGATTTGAATTGGCTCAATTTTCCTTATTCAATGTTAATTAGCGCTGATCAATATTGTTGCGATGAATAAAATCAGATTAAATAATTTAAAAAACCAGAGTCATACTTGAAATTATTTAAAATAATAATTAACTAGTTTAGTTGTTGTTAAGGTACCCAAAACAAAAAAAGTATCAAGTGTGGCATATCATTATACTCAGGAGACTGAGTTCTTTCAAAACCTGAAATAAAAAATGCAGGTCCGTATTTAAAAAAAATTACCTTGGTCACTGTATCTCACAAATTATCAGCTAATTTGAAAATCTAAATATACTATCAGATAGCCCTATTAAAGTGGCAATGAGAATGTGCAATTAATTTTTTCATTTTCTAAAAAGTAATGACAAGAAAAAAGAAAATTGATTTTCCAAAAAATCCGCTTTTTCCAAAAATCTCAGCAATCCTTAAAATTTTTAAAACATTTTTGATGGCATCTTAGTGAACATCTCAAGGCTCAACTTTGCCCCAATTTAACCATCTTCTAATCTATTATGGTTTCCGAGATACCAATGCTAGTACCTCGAATTTGTAGCACCCTGTATAGGTATTTATTATTCGATTAACCAAATAAAAACTTAAAAATTATACCCATATGATCCAAGTATCAATATTTCCAAACAGACACCTCCCTTCATCTACCGCAGTTTTCACTGCCGGCACATTGTCCATCATCCATTTGATTTTCAAAGCACTGAAATAAGTACTGACAGGCAAACCGGTAGCTCTCTGTAAGAAATACTGCGATTTCTTCCCGTCCTCCAGTATTTCGTCCACTGTGCTTGAAGTCCTCATATCCATCCACACCAAAGCATTGCACAGATGTTTTCCCGTATATTTATCCCACAACACTGTTGTTTCTCTCTGATTTGTTATGCCGACGGCCACAATCTCTTCGTAGTCTATACTGAGTTTCTTCAGGTTATCGCAGGCGACCTGGATAGTCTCTATGACTGAGTCCATTATAATTTGAGGGTCTTGCTCGAACCATCCTTCGTGTGGGCAAATGTGGGGGATATCTTTTTGATGGTACGTCAATACTTCGGCGGTTTTTGAAGCGAAAACCTAAAGAAAAATTATTACTGAGACTTATGATTTAAAAACAAATTAAATAAACCATACCAGAAAACGAGTACTTGAAGTCCCTTCGTCTATAGAACCCACCAAAGGGCCGTATTTTTCTCTAGTAGTGCTCATTGTAAAATAGGAGAGTTGAATTTACACAGAAAGATCAAATTCCAGTAAAATTGTATTTAAATTTAAAGCAATTTTAATAAAAATCACATTTGTTGACGTAACCTTGGATATTTCGAAGATTTAAATTTTAAATATAAATATCCCATAAATTACAGATTTCTTTTTGATAATATGTCAAGCTTCTGAGAGATAGATGGCGCAGGGAACTAAACAGATTCCTTTAATAAAATATAAGTAAGTAATAAAATAAAATTATAGAGGGCGCTCCATTATTACCGATTTCTTTTTACAAATATGTTAGATTTACTACCGTTTCCGATAGATGACGCCAAGAGGAAAAGAAGATTTCTTTTAAAAAATCTAAATAATGATTTCTGAGAAAAATAACAGGAAGCGCGACTGACTATTACAGAATTCTTTCAGCCGTTATTTGAAAGTTTAGTTAAGTTTACAAAGTTCCTCATAGATGTTACAACTATGAACAATTCATTAAAGCAATTCATTACACAATTCATTTTTTTCTCCACAGAAAGATTTTTATGAGGGTTTTAAAGAATTTTACTAAAAATTAAAAGTTTTCATGTACATATATAATTTAAACAAGATTTCTTTAAGAAAGAAGGTTTTTATTATGATTATTTATGAAAGAATTACACTTGCGGAGCAGCAAAGTTTATTGCTACCACCAGACGCCATAAATCCATAAAACACACCCTTGGCTCTCCAAGAAGGGGCATTTTTCATCCAGTTATCGGGTTGATATTTTTCGACCTAGTAAAAGAGATAAAAGTGACTTTCCCGTTATATTTTGTAGCTTTTATCTTATTTAATGATGATGCATGAGAGTGTATTGAAGGAAATAAGTAAGAAAATTATGTTTTATAGTATATATATTATTAAATTCAATTTCAAACAATTAACAATTAACAGGAAATGTAGAAACGTTATAGTGGGTGTTTCAAATTCAACTTTCACCACTGTAGGAAACGGTAATAAATACAGTGTGGCTTAGATTGGGACAGAGTTATATTCACTCTAGTTTTTTACAACTTTTCGTATATAATGTTTTTAACCAAAGTTTTAGTAAATAAGAAATAGATTGGCACCACCGCAGTGTGCTTTAAATAAAGACAGTGTACTATAGCATAATTTTATGCCGAATCCAGTTATCTACAGAAAATTAAACTTGCTTTAAATAAAAAAAAAGTCGTAGAATATCTCTGAAATAGATAATAATATAAAAATATGTCATTATATATTTTTTCCGCATTTCTTCCCATCAGAAGACTACAGAAGAATTGCTACCTACACGAAATGTGAAAATATTCTGTTTTCAAGCAAGTTTTTACTCGATGATCATTTTTTAAAATTTTATTGTGAACTCACATATTTTCCTAAATACATATCTGTGAAACTATGGCGAGTGTCAAGTCTATACTTTGCCTAGTTAATAGACCACGACTATACAGCTACGTCGCCGGCTACGGAGGCGAGAACAAGGTCATATAAAGTGGCAGAAAAAGAACAAAGGATTTGACAAGGAGTAAAACTACTAGTTTCCTTATACTATGATAATACTGCGTGTATCTGCAAAACCATTAAAATTTTTGAAATACTATAAATAAAAAAATTTTCATTTTCTAACTCTCCATCTAATAAAAAAATAATATAGAGGGTGTTCCATATAAAAAAAATATATTTTAGTATTTTGAACCTGTATGATTTAAGATTACAATTTTTATAGAAAAGTAAGTACCTATACATAAGAAAGCTGAACAAATCACCATTTTAAAAAACTTTATACAAAGTTCACTACACACAACAAACTATTAAAAATCGCTAATGTATTTCTCTGAAATTTTTACTTACTTAAACCGTTGTTATAACATCACAATAAAAATCCTAACTAACACATTTCTCGATGAAAAGAACATCATATTCCATTATTTCCAGGCAATAACATTCTCAGCTCACCCCAAAAATCTACCAGAATGTATTTAAACCGGAGGGTTTATATGTACGAGGGTTGTTACTCTCACCCGTATAGAAGAGGGGTGTTTGGGATGGCTCTTTCATCCCCTCTAATATAGGTGATTTATGCCCCTTGTTACTTGACGAATATTTTATGTTTAATATGCTGTAGTTTACCAGTGTGGCCTAGAACGTTTATGTCATAGAGAATAGAAGGCACGGAAAAAAGAAATCGTAAGTAATGAAGAATGTTGGTAATGTTTTAAAATTATTATGAATAATATTATAATACTAATTTTTACACCCTACAAAGCAACAATAGAGTTTAATACACCAGCCTATATCTGTTTCATCGACTTGACTAAAGCATTCGATAAAGTACGTCTATCTGACGTTATAAACATATTGAAAGAGAAAAAAGTGCCTGATAATATTGTGAAAATCACCAGAAACCTAATTATTGATAACATCAGCGGCGGCTCGTCAGGTGCAGTAGGTGAAGGGGCACTTCACCGAAAAAATACTCAAATTAAAGAAAAAACTTTATTGTTTAAAATATCAATTTAGTTTAATATATTTACATGTATCTAAATAATAAAATGGTAATTTTTTATAAATGATTTATTTTTTTCCGGGCGGACCTCTGCATAATAGGTCCACAGCGTCGTTAATTCCAGCCGAAAAAGTAGCATTATAGGCCCGAACGCGCCTACAAGCCAGAAATGCAAGTGAAATTGTTTGTTTTCTGAGCCAAACGGCTGCACGGTTTCCATGGTAATGTGACGTCAGCCTAGTGGCAGATGTAAACCCCCCACCCCGAAGTTTATTATCTGCGTCGGCGACCGATGCGTGAATGAGTTTTTGGTTTTGGCCCGTTCTCTTCGTCTTCCTTTTGTTCAGGAAATGCGTGACGGCGGCGTATAATTTATGCATTTATGCTAATATTTGGCTACTTCGGCGAGTAATTAACCGTGTAAAGACTGTAAAGTTGTTGTTGTTATTTATTGTTGTTTGTTAATGACTTGTTGATTTAACTTGTTAATTTTTGCCGATTTTTGCTGTTTGTTTTGTTGTTGTGTTTTAAAACTGTGGTGTGTATGTGTTAAAAAATGAACCCAATTAATGACTTGGTGTGCAATTTATTGGAAACTCCCTTCAGACGGTGAACAGATAAGATAAGAGGGATGTTTTATCTCAAGGGCGACCAACTGAAACTTTAACCATAAATTCCAAAAACGAAATAAGAAAAAGTGGTAAATCTTATAATATTAAATTTAAGTCTTCCTGGTTTTCTGATTTTAATTGGCTATGTAGTGGTATTGTTTTAGAAAAATTATTTTGTTGGTCGTGTTTATTATTGTATATTCTAATAAACATGACAATTGGAATAAAGAAGGGTTCACTGATTTCGTAGATATAACAAGATCTTTGCATAAACACGGGGATTCTGCAGAACATTTAAAATGTCAGTTAATGCTAAGTAATTAAAAAAAAATCAAAATACAATAGCCGATGCTTTAGAAAAAAAAACGTTAGACTCTATAAAATTAATAAGCTTAATTTTAATGAAAATGTTCGTTTAAATAGGCTTTAATGAATATAATTCATTAATTAAATGACGATATTACTGATAAGTTTGCATCAATAAAGAACACAAAAATTGAGCTGATTTACAAAAATTAGTAAGGTTGGTAATATAAATAAATCAAATTTATTTTGGTTAATATTGCTTAGTAAACATTGATGTAATTGAAAATGATAATATTATGCAAATAATATTTTAAAAGATGTTGACAAAATGGTGAATGCGCCAAAAAAATTTTGGCCTGCGGCGCAATTTCAAAAATTAACTCTTCTCCTAATTTTCTAGCCGCCACTGGATAACACAACTCAAGTAAAAGCAGGGAATAATCTAACACGAGACATACCAACACCAGGAGGCATTAGAAAAGGTGATCATCATAGAAAAGGTGATCTCGATGAATATCGGTTATCGAATGGGACACAACAGAGCATGGTGTGTTACGCTGATGATGCAGCCATTATCGCAGAGGGAGAGGACGATATGCAGAGACAGCTTCATAAATTCTATCAAATAAGCCGAGAATTAAATATTATTATCTCTACAGAAAAAAAAAACTAAATGTTTAACTTTCTCTAAAGAGCCAGTAAGATGCAAGCTGGTAGTAGAAAACAAAATTATTGGGCAAGTATCACCTAGATTAGATACCTAGGAATAGATATGTCGTATTGTGATGAATCGAGTTTTGAAAAATAATTTAAAATCTTTTAATTAAATTATAAAATCCTGAAATCAGAAAATATATTTGTTTTCTATAGTAAATTTGGCTTAATCAGACACAATAAATAATTATACATTATTTTATAACAAATTGTAATCAAATATTAATTTAAAATTATTTAAATACAAGGTCAAGCTTCCTTTAAAATCTACAAAGTCCAGTAAGTAAAGATTCTAGAAAAATTCCAGAACCCGTCAAAGGTGGCCTCATTTTCGAGGTCAGTAAACCAAATTCCTTAGAAAAAATGCACCAATTAGAACGCACGTAGCCATCCAAAACGGTGGGGACAATAGATTCTTCGCGAGTAGTGGCAAAATTTTACATATAAATACGGGTCCAGAAGTTCATAAAGGGAGTTTTGGGCAAATATCAGTTGCAGCTCGTCGTAATGCCCAAATGTTGACCGATTTTTATTTTAATTTTATTAATTTAATAAGTGAATATGTATTCTAGTCGGGACTTAAGTCAAAAGTTATAAAAGTATAAAAATTATAAAAGTGTTTGAACAGTCCTAATGAAGCAGTCGTAATAATTAAACAGTTCAATAGTAAAAAGTGTTCAGTCCGCCAGCCTTAGTCCAGTAAATAAAATAAGAGTACTTAGTGATAGTGAAAATTCCAGTAACAGTAAGTGTTTGAACATTGTAATAATTGACTTTTGATTTTTTTGGAATTTTATGGAATTCTTATGGAATTTAATAAACTTGTAAAACGTGAACTCTGGTGTTTTAAATAAAGAAAAATAATCTGTTTGGTCAAACTTAAAAGAAAAATTTTTAAATTAAATTTATTCTGTGATCACATTTTTATTATTTAATTGTTTTTTTAACAATTTTTTGGAATAATTACTAAATAAAAAAATCCCTTTCAA